CAGAGCTTCGTCCCCGCCAGCGGCTTCTCGTCTCCTTCGCCTGAATTTCATCCGGGAGGGGAAAAGGGGAGGGGAAGTGTCTTTTTTTTTTTCTTTTTTTTTCTTTTTTTTGGTTGAATCTCGGCAATATTTGCCTGATGGTGAAGCGCCGGCAGAGCGAACCGGCAACCACACACTACAGCACCCCCCGCCGTCGCTCCCGGCCCCGGACTCGCCGACACTCATCGTCACGCGGACACATCCATCTCCTGCTCTGTGTATAGACTGGAAGATACTTATATTATATATATTTTTGTTCAATGGTTGTTAATAGTAGACGTTTAAGTTATAGCGTTTCTGATTTGACAAGCAACGTACTGTAAATATTCTTGGAGTATATTCACGCTGTATAATGTATACAGAAAGGTACAGAGGCCAAGGTATAGTTTCTATAGCGACTGAGGAGAAGCTTGTACAGGGTTAGGGCGACTTTTGTATAGTTCATGACCTGCACTGTAGTTGTATCTATTGCACTGAATGTCGGGCCGTAGTATATTAAACAAAAAAAGAGAGAAACACTGTCCTTTTCAAACAAAAACCACGCAACCCTCACAAAAAAAGCCTCCCCTCTCCCTGCGTGCAGCCGGCGGGGGAGCGACCGCCGCCTTCCCCAAGCCCCAGGCGCCGTTTTTTACGTAGTCTTCTCTTTTTTTTCTGTTTTTTAATTTATTTGTCCGGTTTGGGAGTGAATACACGTGACCGCACTTGAACGAAAACAAAGGGGAGACACACACCCACCCACACCCACACGACACGCAGGTGTATAAAAACGCCCTGCGAGAGGCTCGCGGCGCCTCGGCGCAGCACGGCGCCCAGGGAGCGCGCGTCTGCGGGGGTCTGGGGTTTTTGGGGGTTTGTTTGGTTTTTTTTCAACAAAGGCGTACAAATAAGTGCCAAGTGGAAGGCGTGTGGTGTGCTACCAATAAACCAGGATGTCTGCAGTGACCCAGCCGGCCGCGTCCTGTGCCTTTATTTCGGCTTAGCCGGGCTCTCCCCTTGGCTTTCATCCACCCTTCCCCTGCGGGAGGGGGCGTTTGTCTGCCCCGTCCCCGCTGCGGGATGGAGCGGTGGTGGG